TAAAAAATAATGAAAAAAACTGCAGAGGTGTAATACAATCACTCGGAACTTGTGGCCCTTGCACCTTGTCTCCCGTAGAAAATTCGATGGAACTGGAATATGTGTCATTTTGAGTGGTATTCTGCCAATCGCTGTTCTGGTCCGTTTCATTATTACTTTCAGATGTATCACTAATTCTGTTTATACGTCTTCTTTGTCTGAATGTAACCATGTCTTCTAAATCTTCACCACTTTCGATTTCAGATGCACACATTCTTTGAAATTGTTGTTCTATGTCCTCCAAACAATCACTATCATCACTTTCAAATTCATTGTCACGCACTGTTGTAAGTCGACTCTGTCGTCTAGCCATATTCTTTTTTAAAAAATTATTTTTTAGAAATTTAGACTTTGAAAATGTTTTCTAGCTGTACTACGAATTTGAACTGTACGCCACGATGGGTTTGAAAGAACTAAACTAAGCCCTTAATTTCAAGAGGTATGGCCTATTTCGGATATGCTACACCATAGCTTTTATTCTATCTCATTTAGGTTAAGATTGAGACATTGTCGAGTGAAACGCGCCAGATGTCGAGCCACATACGACATAGGACGTGTCAGAACAGAATGCGATGTCGAGTCACACTCGACATAAGACCGCAAAGGGTTAATGTTTCAGGCCAGATAAAAAATATTTTGTGATATTTCTGTAAAAAAAATAGTGTATTCTGTAAACCCCGCGATACGCAGAATAATATAATATCATAAAATCTGTATGATATATCGATTGAAATCTTATAGAAGTATGTGAATTGAAATACTTAAACCTCATTTCACTTTACGTACCTCCGAAATATTTCAGGCTCGATAAATAATATTACATAATATTTATGTACAAAAACAATGGTGTTCATTAAGAACAAACGCGATGCCTATAATAACATAAAACCACAAAGTTGATATGATATGCTAACAGAAAGAAAGTGGGAAACATAGAAGAAGCATAAGTTAACATCATTCCACGTACCAGACAATTCGTATCAATTCACGATAGATAAATAATATTCGATCAAATTTATGTACAAAAGAATTATTTTCATTGTGAACTATGCGAAGCGTATAATTATGTAAGGCCATAGAATCAAAACTATATATTAACAGAATAAATGTGGAAGTCGTTCATTGGTCATATGTAAAACTCATTCAACCTACTAGTAGTATGTAAAGCATCAGGCATCATACATAAAAGCATCATATGAAACGGAAGTGTATCGTACGATAGCTTATGACAGTACCGTATGGTACGGTATGGTTCTCTATAATATGGTATGTTACGATATTGAATCGTGTGGTACGGTATGGTACGGTGTACGGTATTGTACGACATGGTACCGTATCCATGATACTGTTCCGGTACTATATCCAACAGTACAGTATAGAATGGTATGGTACGGTATGGTACAGTATGGAACCGTAGAGTACGGTATTGCTTCGTATGGTTCGGAATTGCACAGTATAAAACGGTATTATACAGTATTGTAACGTATCGTACTGTATGGAGCGATATTTCCCGGTATGCTAAGGAATGGTACTGTGTGGCACGGTATGGTACAGTGTAGTATGATATGATACTGTTTGGTACGGTGTTATGCAGTATTATTTCGTATGGTACTATATGCTATGTTTGGTACTGCATATAACGCTAATTTTATTATACCTTATGGTACGATATTGTATCGTATGGTAAGGTTTGATACGGTATTGTACGGTATGCTAGAGTATAGTCCGGAACGAAACGGTTTGATACGTTATAATATCATATGGTACTTTGTTGTATCATATGGTGCAGTAAGGTACCGAATGGTACGATATTATTTCGTATGATATGGCATGCTATTGTACGTTATGATACGGAATTGGCCGGTCATGTATCGTTTGGTACGGAACGTTTCGGTGTGTTACGGTATAGTACGATATGTTAGGACATCGTACTGTTTCATGCGATCCTGTTCGGTATAGTACGTTATGGTATGAAATTGAATTGTTGATACTGTGTGATACGGTATGATATTGCAAGGTACGTTATTGGATTGCATTGTACTGTGTGGAACGGAATGATAAGTCTATGTTCGGTAAGGTATAGAATCTTATCGCTTGATACGGTATGATACGGTAGTGCATCGTGTACTTTGCGATACTGTGTGGTTCGGAATGGTAAGGAATGTGGCGGTACTGTATCGTATGGTACCTAATGTTTGTGTACGATACGATATGCTACGGTACGGAAATGTACGGCAATTTAGGGTATAATCTGGTCATGTTTGGTACGGTGCTGTGTGGTACGGTATGCCATGGTATTGTAACGTATAGTTAGGTGTGGTACAGTAAGCTATGGTACGGTATGGTAAAGTATAGTACAGTACGTTACGTAATCGTACAGTACGTTATGGTACGGAATGGTACGGTGTTGTTCGGTATGATATGATGCGATTATGTATAGTATGAGTGGATAGCCGGAGTGGTTCGGTATAGAACGCTGTGGTACGTCATAGAACGGTATATTTGGTTATGTATTGTAAGGTACGGTATCGTACAGTATGGCACGGCATGTTAAGTTATGGCACGGTATGGTGCGCTACGGTACGCTATGGTCCGGTATTGTTCAGTGTATTTCAGTATGGTAAGATACTGTACAGTATGGTTATGTATTGTACGGCATTTTACAGTAATGTATCGTATGGAACTGTAAGTTTCGTTATGGTACGATAATATATTGTAATATATGGTACTGCAAGATATGGTAATGTAAGATGTGGTATGGTAGGTTGTGATACTACAGTATTGTATCGTATGGTACTGTATGGTACTGTAATGTACTGTATTCCAACGCATGATACGGTTAGGTCTGTTATGGTGCGGTATGGAACAAATGTTATCGTAATGTATCATACGGTACGGTATGATACTTTATGGTACTTTATGGTTACGTGTGGCTCGGTAATGTGGCGTATGTTACGGTATGGTACGGTGTGGCATATAATATGGTACGGTATGGTATAGTATCTTACGGTACGGTATGGTACAGTTTGTTTTGGTATTTCAACTTATGGTACATTCTGGGAGGTTATGGAACTGTACGGCATACTATTGTACGGTATGTTTCGGTATGGTACGGTATAGTGCGGTATTGTATATTATGATACGGTGTGGTTCACAATGGTACTGTGTGGTTCGGTATGATGACGTATTTCATCGCATGGTACGGTATGGAACGGTATGATACGGTATAGAACGGTGTGGTGCTGTATTGTTCTGATACTCTTTGCAACAAAATGATACAGTATTACACGGTATGGTATGTCATGGTACGGCATGTTACGGTTTGGTACTGTATAGTACTCTGTGGTACGGTATTGTAAGCCATAGTACGTTATTTTGCGGTACGGCACGGTACGGTGCGTTATGTTACCCTATGGTACGGCTTTGTATCGTATTGTATGGTTTCGTATCAATCGTATTGTATTGTATGGTATCGTACAATGTATGGTTTCGTATCATATGGAACGGTATTGTATTGAGTGGTACTGTATTGTACGATATGGTATAGTATGATTCAATGTGATAATGTGTGAAAACGTATGGTACGTTGTTGTGCGGTATGTTAAGGTAAAGTTAGATATAGTACCGTATGGAACTGCATTGTATCCAATGGTATAGTATGGTACGATACGTTTCTGTATCGTCCTGTATGGTGCGGTATCGTACAGTATTGTTTGATACGTTGTGGTACGGTATGGTACCTTATTGTATAATTAGGTACCTTATGTTTCGTTATTGTATCGTATGGTTCGTTTTGGTGCGGTATGGTGCGATATGTAACGTACGATACAGTATTGCATCGCATGTTAACGGGACGGGACAGTACGGTACGCCAAGTTATGTCTGTGTGATACATTATTATGCGGTGTGGTACTGTAGTAATATGGTAAGGTGTGGTAAGGTGTGGTAAGGTGTGGTAAGGTATGGTAAGGTATGGTAAGGTATGGTAAACTACCGTATTGTAGCGCATGGTACGGTTAGCTAAGGCATGGTACTATGTGTAACTGTATCGTATAAAACGTTATGGTAAGGTATAGTATTGTACGGTATATAACGGTTGGTGCCTCTCGTACGGTATAGTACACCATAGCATAGTATGGTACCATATGATACTCTGCTGAATTTTATGGTACAGTATAGCACGGTATGGTTCGGTGTGGTACAGCATGTTGTCAAATTAATGTTATGATACGGTATCATACCTCATGGTTCGTCATGGTATCGTACGGTGCGGTATTGCATCGTATGTTACGGTAGGGTACACTAAGGTACGGTATGGTACGATATATTTCGGTATGTTTCTGTGTGGTACCATATTGTACGGTGTTGAATTGCATGTGTCGGTATGTTACAGTGTGGAGCGGTATGGCACGGTAAGGTATCATACTGTACTGTCAGTTACGGAATAACACGGTAAGGAACTGTAGGGTACAGTATTGTAGGTTATTGTTTCATATCGTACTATAGGGTTCAGTATGCTACTGTGCCGTATGGTATGGAATGGTACGCTACGTCATGGCATGATAAGTTATTGTACGTTATGTTACGATACGGTATGGTATGGTATATTGTGATACGATAATATATACGGTATGGTATGGTATATTGTGGTATGGTATGGTATATTGTGATACG